ACATAAGAAATAACTTTCGAAATGTCACTTTTAACTACGAGTTAAATTTAACTCGGCAAATGGTTCACAGCCTAAGTATCAAAAAATGGCTTTAATATTATCGGTTATCTGTCAGCAGGGTTGCTTCCACTCACCCGCTGCAAAAACATATTTTTCGGAATTATGCAATCATTAGATGTTATACTGCTATGTTATACTCTTAAGTAACAAGAAGAGGGTGTAAAGTATGTCTTTGACTCATAAAACCTGTTCATTTCGCTTTGAGAGCGTCAGAATCAGCGATCTTATTATTCGTGAGCGTTCACTCAGAGTGAGCGCTCACGAGTCGTAAAATCGCTGATTGTGACGCACTGAAAGCAATATTGACAGATTTTATGTGTCAAACATATACTTCATGACCTCTTCTTGTAAGTTACAAGTACTAATTAGCACTATACTATATCATGAGTTCATAATTCCGAAAAACACTTCTTTATAGCAAGTGAGTGGAAGTAACCCTGTCTGTCAGCACTGTTTGACTCCCACTTCCCTCTTAAATTTTTACCATAATTAAATCTGGCAATTGAAAAGAAAAAAAATGACCCTAGATGGCATTACAACAAACGCTTCAAATGGTTGTTGTCTCGCCTATTTTTATTATTCTATACACGCTCACAATTTCTACTCAATTTATAATTTACTAAAAAAAAAACCAAAAATGTGTCCTCCCATAAATGAACAAAATTCCACCCAAATTCAATCAAATGTCACCCACATTGCTATAGATTTTCCGTGAACATGATCGACATCCACTCAAACCCGAGTAAAACCCTACCCATCCCGAGCAAACCCACCCCCTACAGCGAGTAAACCTAACCTAAAATTGAGCTGCATTCCCCGTGTTTGTACTCGATTTGTGCACGAGCCTTGATACAAGATCCCATAATCATACATTTACCCCATTCATATCAAGCTGAACACCACACTAGTTCCCAAGTAACACTGACAGACTCTCCTCGTCGACTCTCACTTTGCATCCCCACGCACGCTGACTTGAAAGTACCCATTTATGGTCGAAAAAGACCCATTTTGAAGAAAAGTGGCTCAACTCATCAAATGAGTAAATTCTCCACCCATTAATGAGTATCTGTTACCCATTAATGAGTAACTGTTAATCATTAATGGGTAACAGACACTCATTAATGGGCAAAATTGTTTAATCATTAATGAGTTAAGCCACTTCTCTTCAAAACGGGTCCCCTTCCACTCATTTATGAGTACTTTCAAGTTAGCGTGCGGTCGGCCATGTAAAAACATTCCGAGCTGTTTTCATCAACCGATCTATAAAATAAGCTTGAGAATCAATCAATGTCACCTATGACCCAATGCAATGTTCAATTTGATATTTTTGCTATCCATCACCTTTATTACCATTAACTCAAAACAAACCAAAAATGTTAGTACTTATCTTTTCCTTTTTTTCCCTTTTCGGGGAACAAACCATTCTTCTTCCTTTATGCGTCTTTCGTCATCTTATGCAAAGGCCGGAACCGTTTGTTTCCTCTTCGCATTGCACCATCGTTCTGCTTCTCGCCATTTTTTTTTCTCCACAATCTGCTCTAAGTTTTTTTTTTACTTTTTCATGCCTTTCTGGGACTTCCCGCACTCATCTTTTGCAATAATCCACTAGCCACCACACTTATTTAAACCTTACATATGTTTTTTTCAATAATTTCCACCAAAAACACTTGAAATTTGGATTCCACATGATCCTCTATTTTTTTTCACTACCACTTTATCGGAAATGGGGTAGTTAACCCTACGTAAGAAAAAGTAGATTTTAATTCCAGTAATAAACTGTATTTGTTTTTGTGTTGTCTCGAACTTTATGTGTAAAAATTCATTGGTGTAGATTCAAATGTTAAGATTTACCTACTCTTTGCATATCTATAATAAGCTATGATCCTAATCTATCAATTACTTTAAAGAAAAACAAATGTCAACTACTGAGTGAAAAGTTATTAACAAATGAGCAGTTGGTGTGTACAACTGTGCATGCCAAGCATGACTGCGATGATCAATTCTCTTCATCGATTTCTTCTCTTTGTATTACTACACTTAAGTGAACCAATTTTCCGAATTTTTTTCAATACTATGATGCAAATGGTTGCATTGGCTAGCAGAAGCAACATCAAATGCACCGAGAAATATTACTTTAGCTGAGTTATTAATAAAAGAGAAAATCGATGAAGAGAATCGATCATAGCAGGTAGGCCCTTATGGTTCTAAACGCTAGAATTTGGTATTGTTCGATTCTCTTCGTCGATTTCTCTTTGAATCGCAACTTCTGACTATTTTCGACTTAGTTTCCGATGAAATGTTCCCCACTATTCTGTAGTCCCTACCAAACGGATTTCCCATACAAATGTTTACGGGATAGAGAATATGGCTGTACCACTAGACTGATGCAAAATTTGACTTTTTCGCTCCACAGTGCTTAAATGGTTTCAAATTGGGTCCTGATTAGCCTCCCAAAGTTACAACTCATTTGGTTAGAAACAGACTTCGCACAAGTCATTTGAAGTTTGCATGTAAATTACTATGGGAAATCTCAACTTTTTGTTCATTGCCTTCTAGTCTTTTTCCATATTGCGCTGCGAAACAGATCGATAACCATTCTTATAGAAAATTTTCTCAGCTACAACTTTGCTGAAGATCGCTTCTATGTAAAACGAGACAGGAAAAAGTTATTAATTATTTAAGAGATTTGTTAACTTATGACATGATCAAGCAGCTGCTCTGTAGGCAACACTGTATTTTGCAGTGTGACATAGTAGCCATGATTTTTGTGTCCTATTCAAGCCCCAGAAACACCAATGTTGCCTGCTGAGCAGTTGATTGAGCATGATCATAAGACATCAGCGCATTGAACCATTGATAACTTTCGATCCTTGCATTTAATCAAAAAGTGGTCCTGAGCAAAGTTGTAGCTGGGAAATTTTCCTACAAGTGCAGTTGAAAGCTTTTGAAGCAGACCGATATGGTGAGTTATTAGATAGACATGAACAAAAATTTAACCATAGTAATTCCCATACAAACTTCAAATGGTTTGTGCGATCTCAGTTTCTCACCAAATGGGTTCAAATTTTGAGAGGTTAGTCAGGATCCGATTTGGAATCGTTTAAGTACTGTGGAGCGAAAATTTCAAATTTTGCATCACTCTACACGAAACGAAAATCAATTATTTAATTCATGTGTTTCACTTATACATTTTTGCCAAAGCATCAGCCTTATACATTCCATAAGACAAACCACATAGGTCCTATTAGAATGCATAAAAGGTATGTGTGACCGCTTATACATTTCATTTGACACATGATCTTTGTTAACTTTTTGCAAGGCGTCTGCTTATTAGTTGACTTATACATTTTATGAATAATCAGCAATGGAAATTTGCCAAAAGGTATAAGGAGATTTCTATCCGTGTACTGTACCACCCATATTATCTATTCCGTTCGAAACGGATTTTCCATAGGGTTTTTGATCCGTTGGATTTGACAAAGAGTCACACATTATTGAGATATTGTTTAAAAATCGAACACTTTTTCTTCATTCCAAATGCGTTCTGCGAGTTTCAATTTCATCCTAACGCATTGGTTTTTCTTGTTCTACGAATGAAGGCAGAAAAAATGGATTTGCTAGGAGCACTTCTTTTGTTTTATAAACAGACAACGCGCTCGTATTGGCCTTTTTTGTATCTTATGAGCTAACGCATCGGAACAAACGTATTATTCATTTGTGCAAAGTGAAGTCATTGAGATGGTTTCTGCTCGATAGAACGGAAATGGGTGATTACGACGAAGTAGCGCTCTGCCTAAAAAGAAAAACAAAAATTGTATGAGAAATCCGTTTCGAATGGAATAAAGAAAAGACGAACATTTCAAAATGTCCTATCTGCTTTGATCGATTCGCTTAATCGACTTTCTCGTTCGTCAATAAGTCAGCTACAAGCAGTGCCGTTGCCTGGTGTGGGCGTGGGGGTGGTCCACCCCGGGTGCTACTCTTAGAGGGGTGACACAAGAGAGGATAATTTGGTAAACGATAAATTACTTGTAAACTTTAACTTTCTTTTCTTTTTCTGACTTTTCGGATCTCTTAATCCTTTTATTTTCCTGGAAGGTTTTTACACCTTCGACCGCAAAATTACTTGTCCCGATAGTTCCTTGCAAGCAGGCATAGAAAATCATTTACAATGTTTGTGAATAACACAATGCACGACGATTTAGCGCAGGTAGAACTTGTTACTGTTTTTCAGTGAATGTAATTTACATTCACCGAAAAACAATGGTGGGTTCTATTCGCTCTGGTTCATCATGGATAAGAGATACAGATATGAATTATTCACTAAAGTTGTATTTAATATCAAAACCTACAAAAGCTTCATACATCATACTACGGAATTCTGATGATGGAAAAAAAATAAATGCAGATGATTTCCCATGCCTGTTTGTAACTTCCTCTCCAAGCTTCTAAGAACTGTTCCTGGAAGTTTCCCCCAACTTTCCTGCCCAATTATTAGAATGAACTGACGGCCTCGTTATAATTTTCCTATTTTCAGGAACCCACCCTTCCGCATACGCGTGCGCCTGTCCCGCCGCCGCAACGACGATGAGGATTCACCCAACAAGCTGTACACCCTGGTCACCTACGTGCCGGTGCCGGCGTTCAAGGAACTGCAGACGGAGAATGTTGAATCGACCGACGATTAGATGATGATGCGCTGTAAATTATTTTACAACAATATTCAAATAGAATAAGAGTTGGGTGGTTCGTTCGGTTCAACGTGCTGCAAAACGTCGCGTTTTTTTGTATGTTGGAATGAAGGAAAAGATTGGAGAGCAGAGTTTGAAAATATAAGAAAAGTACTACAGGTGGAAAAACAAAAAAACAAAGTGTTCCTTAACATCCGAAAGTGCAATCCAGGGAGGGAGATTTCTCAATTATGATGATAACACGTGTAATCAACTTCTTGTTTCTACCATTACCAAATGTATTCCTCAGTATGTCTTGTTCGTCGTACAAAAATGCATTGCGTTTCACAATTTTCAACATTATCGAAGCGAAAAAAAAACGAGCTTATCAAATATGCACTTACAGTGCATCGTGCACTGCCTGCACGAGCACACTCATACTCTCAACCGGTGTCAGAGGCGTGATTCCGTGACCCAAATTGGCGATGTAGCGATGCTTTCCAAACTTGCGCACCATAGTCAGCACCAGCTCCCGCAATTCTTCCGGTGTCTTGTACATATCCTGAGGATCCAGATTGCCCTGTAGTGTAACGTTTGGTCCCACCAACTTCCTAGCCTCCTCCGGATCGATGGTCCAGTCTAATCCTATGACTTCGTAGCCGATTTTTGCCTGCTCCGGCAGGGAATGCATGGCACCCTTGGAGAAAAGTGTCATAGGGACCGGAGTGATTCCTTCGTCGGCGAACTTCTTATGCAGATCGTCACGGATCCGCTTCAGGTATGGCAAAGCAATTGTCAGGTACTGTTCTTTGGACAGGTGCTCGGCGCTAGACTCGAATACCTGGACGATTTGAGCTCCGGCTTTGACTTGCATCAGCAAATAATCTACAATCTGATCAGTAAGCAGGTTGAGCAGTTTGTGACTGGCTTCCGGGTAATCCGTGAGCCAAGCTTTTGCCTTGGACATGGTTTTGCTACCACCTCCTTCGATCATGTAGCCCATCAGTGTCCAAGGAGCTCCGGTGAATCCGTACAGAGGAACTTTCCCCTCCAGCTTATGACGCATCATGGTGATTGCATCGCCGACGTACGACAACCTTTCAATCGAACCAGTCGCGTTCAGTCGTTCCAAATCAGCCGGAGTTACCAACGGTTCTGGCAGGACCGGACCAACTCCCTTGACCATCTCCACGGTGATGCCCAGGGCTTGTGGAATGACGAGGATATCCGAGAAAATGATGGATGCATCTAGATCGAAACGTCGCAGTGGTTGCATTGTGACCTCACAAGCTAGCTCGGGAGTACGACACACCTCGAAGAAGTCGTGTTTGGCACGGACCTCTTGGAATTCTGGCAAGTAGCGACCAGCTTGACGCATCACCCATACCGGAACGCGATCCACCGGTTCTCCACGAGCTGCACGGAGCAGGTTGTCATTTTTAAGAGGTGGGAAATCCTGCAAAGAATCAATATACGTTCTCATGAAATACCACTCGACCAGTACACGTTCTCGTATGCTCGCAAGAAACATAAATTATCCATTATCCACTTCGACAGATAACTTTTGACCCGGTACTTACATCACCGCTTGCCACAGCGGCTAACAGTGGATCAGACGAAGACGGGAACAGAGGTGCATCGCCCCCGTCCACCGCTATCGTCGTCGACAGAGTCGATATGGACGAGGTGCAAAAGAACAGGAACAACGTAAGAAACACTAATGTGGAAAACATTCCGAGTACGATGGTAAAGCGGTCCAGTGCAATTAGCATAATGTGCAAACGCTTGCAAGCCTCAACCATAAATATTTTTCTCAACCAAAGGGAGGAAAGTTGATGCAATAATACAAAGACAGCAGAGAACGATAATCACACCTTACTAGCGACCATCTCGAAGTTCCAACCGCGACTGGCTATGTGATGACTGCGTGGCTCCGAGGTTGAAGGTGCTCCCGGTCGGATTGATAGGATGAAAATTGATTTAAACAAATTAAGAGGGCACTTGTCAATCACCGAAAATTATACTGATGTTCTTATCACTGGCAAACGTACACGAATGATTCCACCAAAAACCAACGAAGCAACGATTCTACTACTGTACTAACTGAGGACAGGCCGCTGAAGATGCAGCAAGTATAAAAGTGATGGGAGATAAATACGAAAGAAGGGAAAACAAAAGTCACGATGAAGTTGACGTTTGCAGAAGTTTACACGCTATTATAAAACTACCTAAAAATTGGTCAAAACTGAACCTACTCATATTTGGGTACACCAGTATTTATCTAAATTTGCGTAAACGTGCTTGCGAAGAAATCTCGTGAAGTTTACCCTGATGTTGACATTTTGTAGACTTTACACGGAGATGAAAAACTATCCAAAATTAAGAAGGGTAGAGCGCTACTTCGTCGTAATCGCCCATTTCCGTTCTTTCGATCAGAAAAGATCAATAACATCAATGATTTCACTGTACACAAATCAATAATAGGTTTGTTCCGATGCGTTAGTTCATTAGCTACAACATAAATCCTGTAAGTGCGCATTGTATGAATATTTACGCTCATTGTTCTCAAAACAAAAGAAGTGCTCCTAGCGAATCCCCTTTTTCCACGTTTATCCGACAAAGAAAATCTAATGGCGTTTCAATGCGTTAGGACGGAATTGAAACTCATAGAACGAATTTAGAATCAAGAAGCAGTGTTAGATTTTAGACAATATCTCAACAATTTGCGACTCTTTATCAAATCCAACGGTACGTATGGAAAGGTGAATAAATTTACAAGTCATTTGAGACAGAAATATTCCATTTTTGGTTTAAACTCGTTCAGAAAAGAGAGGTAAAGTGCGGGTTGTGCTTAGTAGGACGGAAATTAGATCAAAAACCCTACTATTCAATCAATTCACGGGTTCAGTCCATTAACCCAAAGTTAATCGCATATCCAGTATTTTACGATCGATTATGGCCGCCATAATCTGGCTGAGGTTCTGGTAGGGAACATAAGATTTGAAGTTTAGATTGTGTTGTTTGACGTGTAAATGATCAAATTTGAACGTTACTTCAGATTGTGGTGGCCATAAGCACTGTTAAATGCTGGATAGTAGTTTTCATTTATTGCGCATTTTGCACCAAATTTTTAGCCTATTGCTAAAAATCTCTTAAATAAAGATTTAAAAAAATTGCACCGAATAAGACTCCTGTGCAAAAAATAATTGCACATCAATATTTTCGCACATTCCAGAAAATTTAAAAATCGACTTGTTCCAAAGCAGTAACAGCTTTAGAACATTACTAGCAAGCTAAACTGTTGAATTAAAGCTCTAGAAAGCATAACCCTAATAAAAATTGTATGGTTAATTTGCTTAACGACGTGTTCTGGGTATCATCCAAACCATTTGTGGAATAGTTCAATGATTTGGGTTATCGTTCGTTTATGGTTATTTTTTATTAGGGAAAGAAGCTCCATACTTAACTTTTATGACCAGTGAGAAAATATTACCAACAATCATTACGAAACTGACGATTTTAAATTAATTATATGATTTGAGTAGTAGCTATACTGAAGATCCGAGAGATGTCGCCTCTTCAGTGGTAGGATAATCATTTTTGCAGTATGGAGAATAACAGAAAATCCACGATTTGAGACTATAAATATTTATTCAGTCTCGGAGTAATACCAATAGACTTAATGAATCCAATCTTTACTTTTCTCAAATTCAGGAATATTTCCCTGGAAAATCCTGGAAAGCCTGGGAAAACATAAGGCAAATTAACTCATCGCTGAGTTCCTGCACTTTTGGCGATTATGAGTGAACTTAACTCAAATTTGAGTCATTCTCATTCGCCGTGCTCACAAAATAAAAATCGCAGCGGCGGCGCGTTGACGAACTTTTCGTTAAGTTTGACGAAACGTTTTGATGTGACAGTTAAAATAATTCAAGATGCACAGCACAAAAAATGTAATATTGATCAACGTAATTCAAGCTGATGTATGAAATAATTATGTAATATGTAATAACAAAAACCAGATACGGAATGACCTCTGTGCAGCTGTTTGGATGTAATATTCAACAACTTTTTTCTGTGTGACAAGAACCTGTACACACTCGTTCGATTTTACTCTAGAGTGAGTAGCAACATATCAAAAACAGTAACATTGCTTAACAAACTAAGATTTTTTTTTACAGAATACTGTATTTTTTTTACCGAATATGGAACCACTAAATCCGATCCGATGAATTTGATAATCCATGCGGTATTTTTATTTTATTTACAATCCGTTCTGTAAATTTTCTTTGCTTGTGGGCTGTCAACATTTACTGACGTGGACTGTAAATTTTGCTGATAGATCGGTGAAGTTTACCATAGCGTGTGGTATCATTTTTCCCAAATTGACTGTACTTTATTTACAGAACTAATTATAAGCAGTTTAATTTATATTGATTAATTAACTGTTTCTTTCTTCATACAGAAAATTATTTATAAAAAAAAACAGTAAAGAACCTTGACGAGATTATCGACTCAGTAGCAAACCGTGCCAAAAATCACTTTTAGTAGATAATAAAAGTGTTAGTAGAATACAAGTTTTTCGGTATCTCCGGGAAAACCCAAAACATGTCTCATTGTGACCTAAGTAGTCCTAGGAGCTCGATATAACTATAGTTATATCACAAACAAGCAGACATAACACATTGAATATTTCTCACTGTAAAACATCATCACTAAAATATTACCGTCATATGTTGAGCACTCTGTGGTGGGCAGTACGCAGAACAGATGGCGATAGTGTGTAAACGACAAACGCAAGGGAATTGACTATGCGCGCCACAGGTGGCGGTACTACTACCATAGAGGTAACTCTAAGACCAGAAGGTCCCAAAATAACGTGCTCAACTTTTTGGCTCAGCTCTGGTACTTTCTTCGGTCCCAAGCTAATCGATTCGACTCTCGAAACACAGCCAATAGCACAGGAGTGGAACTTCGGATCAGAAAGTGGCTCCACTTGTCATTTGTGAACACTAGCGCACCTAGCGGTAGAAGGCATCTTCTGCCTGCAGTTAAGATAGACAGCATCCTATGATAGTGCGAGTGCACATAAAGGGTGTCCACGATGAAATTGCAACACTATGAAATTGCTCTAACTTTTTAACCGTTGGGTAGAATTTAATGAAAATTTGGGTGGATTTAGTTCATAGTGCATTATTTACATCCTGCAAGTTTTAAAGTCCTGTGATCAATACTCGCGGAAATGGAGTCGAAAGAACAGCTCGTGCGTGATAAAATCTTGCGCATTCATCACGAGAACAAGGATCTCTCGCATCGTTCCATCGCTAAAACGTTGGGAATCGCGAATTCCACGGTGTCGCGAGTGATTAAGCGGTTCGAGGAACGGTTGACCACCGATCGGAAGCCCAGAAGTGAAGGAAAAAGTTTTCCGTACAACACCAAAAATCACAACCGCGTAGTTGGGGCCTTCAACCGAAATCCGAACGCCTCCGTTAGGGATGTGGCTAAGAAGCTGCACCTAAGCCGAAGTTTTGTCCAGAAGGCCAAAACTAAGGCTGGGCTTCGAACGTTCAAGGTACAAAAGGCCCCTAATCGCGACGAGAAGCAGAACAAGTCCGCCAAAACCCGTGCCAGGAAGTTGTACCTCAACATGCAGACGAAAGTTGAATGCTGCATCATGGACGACAAAACATATGCGAAGGCCGACTTCAAACAGATCCCCGGCAACCTGTTTTTCACGGCCAAGGATAAGTTCAGCGTTCCGGAGCATGTCCGCACTCAGAAGATGTCCAAATTTGCGAAGAAATTCCTGGTTTGGCAAGCCATCTGCACGTGCGGGAAGCGGAGTGCACCTTTCGTGACCCAGGACACGATGAACGGACAGGTGTACATAAAAGAGTGCCTCCAGAAGCGGCTGCTTCCTCTCCTGAAGGCCCACAACGTCCCAACAATCTTCTGGCCGGATTTGGCCTCATACCACTACTCCAAGGACGTGCTGAAGTGGTATGCGGACAATAAGGTCAATTTCGTGCCGAAAATGTTCAATCCTCCCAACACTCCGGAGCTCCGCCCCATCGAGCAGTACTGGGCGATTATGAAGCAGCACCTTCTTAAACGACCTAAGGTAGTGAAGACAGTCGAGGAACTGAAGAAAGTATGGGTTTACATGCAAAAAACGGTTGATTCACAGGTTGTGCAGAATCTTATGGCCAGGGTTAAGGCCAAGGTGCGGGCATTTGCGTATGGACTGTAAATAAAATACGAGTAAAATGGTAAAATGAAGTTCAATAGTTATTTCTCAATCCCTGAAAATTTGATGGCAATCGGATGAAAACTCGAGTTTTGCGAATCAATTTTGTGTGTGGCAATTTCATCGTGGACACCCTTTAGAAAAGCCCGTGTGGAACGCTACAACAATACATCGCTTGTTGAGCAGAAAAATGAACCACCTTTTGATTAACCGATTTGTTTGCACTTCCCCTTCTGTTCTGTGCCAATAGGCTAGTCAACACAGCAAAAAAAGTTGTTGAATATTACATCGAAACTGATGCAACCAGGTCAATCCATCGATTGTGTAATATCACATTGTACGATGTACATCGATTTTGCGAACAAAATTACATCCATTGATGTAATATTGTATCTACTTTTTGCTATTACATCATTATTTCATACATCAGCTTGAATTACGTTGATCGATATTACATTTTTTTTTGCTGTGAAGAAGTAAGCCAATTTAAAATCGTTAGTTTCGTATTGATTGTTGGTACTACCAACTACGATACTTTTAAATTGACCGTTAAATGCGTGTTCGATGAACAACTTGTTT